GGGGGGGGGGGGGGGGGGGGGGGGGGGGGGGGGGGGGGGGGGGGGGGGGGGGGGGGATGCTGTGCCAGGATGCCAGGGTATCAACGCTTTTGGCGGGGATCATGAAAGTGGGCGACAAATTGGGCGCCAGCATCAGGTTGGCAGCCAGCTAAGACATGTGCTAGCGAGGGCCCTGGGGCCAAACGGCATCTTTGGGCCTGAGACTCGCTGCGGGAAGCTGGTCCAAGCTGGCGTGGCTAGCCCGGGGCCTGGCGGCCTCTTCCCTGTCGCTTGGTATGGGGCGACCCATGGACCGCTGCAAGGGTTGCCATCGCGGGAGGGCCCGGTGATTGGCAGAGGGACCTGGGCGCTTAAGATGGCCATCATTCCTCACCAGCGGGCGAATGGGAAAGAGGCAAACTCGACAACGAGGACGACGACAAGCCCGTGCAAGCGCCCAGCGGAAGACACCGGTGGACGAGGTAATTTGCTTCGTAAAGAAGAGGGATCCATCCATCTGTGCATGGCCATCTTCCAGGACGATGTCCCGGCATCCCAGAGCCGCAGGATTCCACGGAGTCCGCTTGGGCAGGCCGCGCAAACGTGGAGCGAGCCAGTCCTGCGCTTCTGTGCGTACGGCCTCTCAAGACTGATGGGGAGGCTCGATGTGCTCAACTCAAATGAGTCGTTTTCCGCGTCAGCCCAGAGCCCATTGGTCTTGATCTTCTGGGCGGTGAGTCCTTCCAGCCAAGACTCTGCGTGCGCGCCGCAGTCTCGGCGGCTACACGGTCGCAACCAACAGGGCGCGGACATCAGTGATGTCGACGAGTGCGGTACAGCTATACGTACGCGCCGCCATGGCTCATGTCGCACAGACGGGGCATAGGCACACAATGCTGGCATAGGGGCATGCCTTGTGTGCTCTCCATATCTGCCGGGTAAGATGCCGTCTGCATGAGAGCATCTCGCGTTATCATCGAGGCGAGCCGACTGCTTTTGTGCATATTAGCGGAGATGATATCCGTCCTGGCAGTCCGAGAGCAGCAGAGAGGCACCTCCTTGGATAACTAAGCCTCCTGCTGACTCCCGTCTGCATTCGCAAGCGTCCTCTCCAGAAAGCGACTCTGATTCGCTCCTAATCACAAAATAGGAAATAAGTTCACGGCAATCGAAAGACATTGTCAACACCAGCCAGTCGGTCTTCATCACGCCGGATCGGGAGCTACTGTAAGCTTGTCTTAGCCTTGCATTCACGGATCCTTTGGGCGGTGGCAGGCGGGCAAGGCGGGGTCATGGGCGGCCCTACAGAAGCCCCAGGCCTCGAGCTTCTTACCGCGGCGACCACCACCACTTTCGGGGCGTTTTGGGGTCAGGTGGCCCCCCACGACCGCTGTCGCATTGCATCACCATTTGCAGCTTCGACGACTAACCATCATTACACAGAGATCTCATCTTTGCTGCACGCTGCCGATGCTCGGTATATGTCTGCTGTCTTTGCTAGCATTTTGTCCCCTCTTCGCCTGAGCATTTCAAAATGCCATGGCAAGTTGTCCGTCTTGGCAGCTATTGTCCTCCAATCGGGGGTCAGACGTGCTCCCGAGGTCGCAGCCCTTTTCAAGCTCTCGATGCTGCCTGCTTGATCCCCAGAAGGTGTACCTAACTGCGACTCACTCAGATTCTCCATGTAATCTACATACTTAACTAAACGGAGCTTTTCTCCGCTCGGGGTTGAGTTGCTGCATATACTCCGCCATCGCTCTCCCGGTGCGCATCACCACTTCTGTTCCACTTGTTGACACAATCTCCGCAATCTAATGCTCTTTGTGTTCTTGACCGCGGTGAATCCTCAGCTCGAGGAAGTGCCGAGCTCTCTGGCTTATCGTCTGCATGATCATCTCGAACCTTCTCTTATCATCAACCTCGATCAAGGCGGCTCCATTGAGAGTTATCAGCTCCACTGACGTCGCCTCGACTCGCCGCCCCACCACGCCCGCTGTGAACCGGGCACGACGCCTAGCCATTGATTGACAGTTTCTCTGGAGAATCTTATGGAAAAGAGCTTGAAATTTCTGTATCTGTGTCACTAAACCTTCAAGGCCACTCAGTAGCCATTCAAGTGCCCATATCCGTGTAAGTGCACGTTGGTTGCCTCTGTGCATACAGCTCCGAGGCCAACAGCACTAGTCTGTGAGAATCTTATCCTTCACACATTCTTCAGCGCCTGCCACGGCCGCCGCTCTACGTCATGTCTCTGAACCGCGTGGCATCCATCGAGTCCTTCCACTTCGTCCCGAGCGAGCAGAGGACGAGGCGAGGCTCCGACGTCTCGGTGCGCGCCAACAAGCTCAGCTTCAACCCGTTCCCGGACGACTGGGACCCCCCGGCCGAGAGGGCGGACAATGTCCAGGCCGTTGACGCCTTTGCCGTGCCCAAGTGGAAGAGGATCCGTAAGTTGAGGGCTCCAACCAACTTGAAAGAAGTAGTAACCCCCTCCCCCACTAACCGTACGCTATACTACAGTCCAAGTCGGCGCGGCCGTGTTCTACTGCCTCTTCGCCGCCGGCATCGTCTTCGGGTACGCGGCGATCAAGCCCGTCCTCAAGAAGGAGGGCGCCTACCGCGGCGTGTGCTCCGGGGGCGACGGCCTCGTCGACGAGGACACCTGCCGCGAGATCCACCTGAACCTCATGTTCACCGTCGCCGCCGTGGGCACCAACGTCGCCGCCCTGCCCGTCGGCGCCATCCTGGACCACTTCGGCCCGCGCGTCTGCGGCGTCCTGGCCGCGCTGTTCCTGACGGCCGGGTCCCTGCTCATGGCGGCGCAGCGGGGGCTCCTCCCCTTCGACGCGCTGCTGGCCGGCTACCTGCTCCTCGCCCTCGGCGGGCCCTTCACCTACATCTCGTCCTTCCAGCTGTCCAACGCCTTCCCGCGGCACTCGGGCCTCATCCTGGCCCTCCTGACGGGCGCCTTCGACGCCTCGAGCGCCCTGTTCCTCGTCTACCGCCTCGTCTTCGAGCACACGGGCGGCAGGTTCGGCCACGACAGGTTCTTCATCGCCTACCTGGTCGTGCCCCTCGTGATCCTCCTCCTCCAGGTCGCCGTCATGCCGAAGCAGTCGTACAAGACGGTCGGCGGCATGATCGAGGAGGCGGAGGAGCCGCTGCCCGCGCGGCTGCCCGAGGACCAGGTGGACGAGACGACGGCCCTGCTGCAGGAGGAGGAGAGGAACCACCGGGACGAGCTGGCGGCGAACCTCGAGGAGGTGCTCGGGTCCGCCACGGGCGACAAGCGGGCCGCGCAGCAGGAGCGCAAGAACGAGATCTCGGGCGTCTGGGGCGTCATGCACCACAGCACGGCCCTGGAGCAGATCGCCTCCCCTTGGTTCATACTCATCTGTCTATTCACGGGTATGTAGCAACTACCACCGCAAGGTGAACTCCTTGCTCCCTCCCTCCCCCCCCACCCCCCCCCCCC